GAAGGAGACAAGTCACTCATGTTGCAGTTCACTGCTGCTTCCAGCTCTTTGCTGTTCAGCTCTCATTTCTTCACCCTTTAACTCCGACACAGACACCGCTCTTGTTTTGTAATTCTCCATCTCCCATTTTTGCCTTCTTTCTTCTTCCTTTCCAGTTCTTGCATCACAGCCTCACTTCTCCCCCTCAGCTTCCTTCCTCGCCTGTTTTTCATCTCAACCTGCTCATCCTGTCCGTTTTAATCTTCCCGCAGCGTCTCCTCTCCGCTCTGTCGGCTCTGCTGACCGTAATAAATAGAGCACTTTTGTCTTTTGTGCAGCTGCAGGAAATATTGTTTCCTGCGTCTGTGTGGAGATACGGTGATTTTCTGAGGTTGGCTGAAAACTGTATTTTGACTTTATCTGGAATCAGCGATAAAAACGTACCGTTAAACCTACTAGGAGGTACAGGAGGTACAGGAGAGACAGTCTGAATGCAACCTACAGGGATGATCACAACTAATAACGGACATTCAATGGGCTGATAACATCCGAAGTGGGTCCATACCACCATATGAGCACTATGATCTACAAACTCTGCAAATTTCTGATTGGTCTGAGGAAATCCTCACCTGTGAGCATGAACCGCTTCAACAGAACCCACCAACGCACGCTCTTGTTTTATCAATTTGTCTGAAAGTCCAGTGTGTAATTTGCAATTAAGTCACAAATATTCAAAATGTATTCTATGTTTGAATATGAAAGACATACCTAAAAACTAACTTTAAGAGGTGGAGTTTCTTAATAGAGTGGGGTTTGATTAAATTATTTTTTCTGTCCCAGATCAAATCAAGACAAAAAAACGGTTATTTCAGGTAACAGAGTTCTTAATGTGTGAAGTTTTTCTTTAATTTTCTTTAAGTCTTTGGATGACGAAGTAATGAAAAGAAGAGCTTTCAGTTAATCAACACCGACTTTAACCTACCCAGTGACTGGAGCAGAAGGCTCACCTTCTACTTTGATCGAGTGTCTCCGAAAAGTCGATGCGTTCAAAGACACGCGACCACCTCGTCTCCCAGCATCGATCGATGTGAGGAGACAGATCAAGAGGAGACGGGCGAATACAAAAGGCTGTCTGTTGAGAAGAGTGGCACATTCAGTCTGCCAGGAGATCAATACGGGGATTATGTATGCCTGCTGGAATATTTGTGCTTGACATTGATCTGGTTTACATTTGATGGAAGTGTTGGCGCAACGAGACAGCCATGACTTATAAAACAATCTAAAAACGGCCAATGCTATAGATCTGAGAGTGCAGAACGACTGAAAGTGGCTGGATTTAGAATAAAACTCAATGTTTGATTTGATCCCATTGACAGCCTCTTTTTAATTACATCAAAGCATGACATTTATTTTGAAAAGATATGCCTGTTTTAACATGAGCCACTCGAAAGGCAGACGGCATTCCAAAAGATTTGGGTGTTTTGTTAGCTAAATACTGGAAGAAAACTCAGAATGGAAAGTGAATCCTCCATAATGGGGTCCTGGGTCTAAGTAGGCCAAATTGTGTCTGTGAGGAGACGAGCTGACCCCGTCAAATTATCGTTGGTCCTAGACAGCCAGGGGCCTCGGAGAAAAGAGGTGCCAGTTAAAAGTGTAAACACTGTCTAGACAAGGAAAAGAGGAGGATATGCGTTTAGAAAGACAGCTTAGGAAGAGAAAGCTTTGAGAATTTACTCTGTATTTTATCTGGTATGGTTTGATGCACTTTAAGATGAGACTGCAAACTGGTAAGGGACAAACTATTAAATTAATTATTATTATCAGTTCATGTCTTGGATCTTACTGTTTCTCTTTACAATTTGTATTTTTGTTGGATGTAACTGGGACCCTGTGTACATAGTTTCATTCCACCTCATGCACCACATGTGATGTGAATGACAATAAAGAACCTAACTGCAAGTCAGAACAACGAATGCACAGAACATTTCATGAGGTTTATGAGCAAAGCAAATTGTGGCTGCTCCAGCCCATTTATTTTAAGTGCAAGCAGCTTAAATTAACCAGCCGGATCATGCAGAGACTCTCCTTTAGGTGATTTGTAGACTCCCCCAAACTTTTTGTTTGAATCTAAAATCACAACGTGACACTTGAACATCTTCTCAATTTCATTGATATGTTGTGGCGGGATGAAAACACACACAGATGCACAAAGAAACAGAGCAGCTCCTGACAGCTCGTGAAATCAAACGTGTTACTTTGTGCCACTTTTTAATCAATAACCCCAAAGTGTCCTGTAGCACAGCCCCGCTAGGCGACAATCGATCTGTGGGTATTAGGAGATTTTTTTTGACATTCCTTCTCTATGCCGCAAATCGAAGTAATATTTTCATGTTTATCTCTCGAGGAAAAGGCTTGTTCTATACCTCAAAGAGCTAAAAAATCAACCTCATCTGTAGATATCATCGGTCAGAAACACCAGCAGGTCACCGGTTTCAAGGAAAGCAGAAGCACAAAAACATCCGTAAACAAATCACGCAGCCTTTGAAATGATTATGAGCATATTAATTTGTGCCCAGTTGTTTATTAGACATGTGGACATACAGGGGAATGAGACCAAGGGACAGAATAAACACAAACGCAGACTCTAAAGGGTGAAAAATCTGATGGTGTTGATGTGAAAATTCATTATAGCTGTAAAAAAAGACTAAACTAGCTCAATGAAGACAGGACATTATGCATTACCACTGAAATTAGAGCTATTTTAAATGTTGTTTATGCTCTGACTGTAACTGATTATTTATAATATGTCAGTTCAGGGATGGAAATGGGCTTATTTTAATCATACCAAACGCATGAAAAACCTTTTAGCAGGAGTTTGTGCCGTTGCTTTGCTCTCTGCACCAGCTATGAACGAGGCCAGTGGCTTTTTTTGCCCAGTATCTCCTGCCTGCTCTGAAATGAGCATGTTCTGTGCGGAGGCTGCACAGGAACGTCGGCAGCGTCATCTGCAGATCAGCAGCGCAGATCAGTGATCGAGAACCAGCGACACATTAACAGCTAAAATGTCAGCCATCTGCCAGATTCAGGAAGCCGAAGAAGCCGCTTCTCAGCAGCAGCTGCAGTGTCCCCCCCTAAGAAAATGATCTTATAGAAGATTCAAGTTTCTTCAGGTTTTGTATAAAACCCTCAGCATGGCAACAAAATCCTTATTGATTCATGTATTAAAGCAAGTCAACAAGAAACATTTATTAACAAATAATACAAGTCAACAGTCTGGTCAGTAAGCAATACTGTTGCACAATTTCTAAAATATATATACGCAGTAGTCCCTCGTTACTTCGCGGTTCGTTTTTCGCTGAGCCGCTCTATCGCGGTTTTTCAAAATAAGATTGGACAAGACACACAATCGTCTGATTGATGGATGAGCCGCATGATCGGCATGAAATTTTTATTTAAAATGAGTTATTTAAAATTATTTAGCACCTGCTGCTGCACCTGGGTGCAGCCCACAGCTGGAGGAGAAACTTCCTCCTGCTGCGTGTCATATCTCCGCTCTGCAGCAGAGAAGTGGGCGTGGCCGAGAGCGCTGGCAGGTGGCAGAGAGCAGCCGAAGGCAGAGAGCACAGATCATAGCATGCTGTGCTCTTTTAGAGCGTTTAGAAAAAAAAATATATATATATATATGATTTTTATATTGGACATTTAGTGCATGAAGTACATAAAAAGTAAGGTTTTGTTTTTGTTTTTTGCCACTGGCAGAATGTAGCAGACATATCAGCTATTAATTCCAATGAGACGGTGCAAAATTTAATGAAATTAGTGTTTGACAGTGACAATTGAGTTTAATTAAACTTCTTTCTTGATCTCTATCCAAATTTTCTTCAAAACTATGTTTGTTTTTTTTACCATTTTATAAATTAAAAAAAAAAAACAAGCATTTTCTATCAATCTGAGTCCACCAGAAGAATGAGAAAATGTAGAAATGCCTACATTTATGGCAAAATATATAAATGAATACTACTTAAATAATTTGGAGTTGTCAATGTCTTACAGAAAAATAGGCTAAATCAGTGTTTTTTGTATACTGTCAATCAATAGAACAAAATAAACTTAAAAAAAAAAAAATATATATATATATATATTATTATTTTATTTAATTTATTTATTTTATTAAATGAGTCAACAGTGCAACAAAAATGTTCCTGTAGTAAACGCAGCTTACAGACGAACCCATCAAATGATTATACCCAGACTATTAAGAGGCCACAATGTACAGAGAATAACATTCAAATAAATACTGGTAGTATTAAATAAATAAGTTGCACATCCAGTGGACAAAACCTAAAAATGCTACACTGTCCAGCACCAAAACTAAACTGTGATGTTTTGCAGTCCTGCTCCAGGATCTCTGTAATGACCTGCCTATAGAGTTTATGAGAATTTATGTTTGTTTTCCCCCGCCACATTCCCCAGATCTCTTATGCAACAAAACACATTTACAATGTGTTTACACTGGAGACTTCCAGCATAAAGTGTAGAAAACAAATTATCTAGCAACTCGGTGATTCTGTCACGCTAACGTTGACCCCAAACCACAAGTTTCACCACCCAGCTGGATATGTTGTTTCGGAAAAGATACACCTTAAAAAGTGTTTTTAGTGCCGTCAGGTGATAGAAGAACTAATTTAAGGAGATGCTTACTGATGCCTCAGGATGTTTGAATGGAACTTCAGGTTATGTAGACCAACAAAGTGCACGTAGTACATTTCCCCAGAAATCCTTTTCAACTTTTGTCCCAGTTGGGCTTCCTCATCCATCCCTCCACTGTGACTGCAAGTGTTAAAGCTTCAAAGATTTACAACCGCCGGACGTATGACCCTTCACACAGATGAGCAGAGACGTCAAGAGTTTTATTGGTTGCCAGATTGACGAAGACTAAGTGGAGTAAGAGGGAGGGAAAGGCAAAGACTGAAAGCCAGGGCGAAAACGCTGAACAGAGAAGAAAAAGAACTGACACGTACTTGAAGCCCGGCGCCATGTTGGCACAGCTCCCGGTGCGAAGCCAGATGCAGTAAGGATCACGGGAGGCCAGGCAGGCTCTGGAAAAATACAAAAAGAAAATACATGTCTTCTTAAATACAACCTGATTTGGTTCGTCGACACTATGCTGATTCAATGATGGGGATGTATTACTACTACAACTAATTCCTTAATTTTATTCTTTGCTGTTTGTTTTCATCAGCTAAGCCAAGTGCTTCTAATTCCACTTAAATTAATTTTTTTGTAAAGTACTCTGTAGCTAAAGATTATTAAACCAATCCAAAACAGTCTACTGTAACAATTCTGGGAGGTGGTGGACCAACAGCAGCCATTAGGAGACAATCGGTCTGAAATGCGCATCATTAAACTGCAATGCTCTGCTAAACATGACCTGCGTATCACCAATAAGAAATGGAATTTGGGTGATTGAATGCATACATGTTTAATATGAGAATAGATTTTATTTCAGTGAAACAAAGACCTGGACCTTAAAACCAACACTGAACTCATAAAAAGTCCTCTTACCAAAACCAAAAGGCTTTTTGTTTCAGACCAAGTGGACGTTCGTATTCCATTTGTAATCCGTATTGGTTTGTCATGTTTTACAAGTGTAATTCTTAATCTTATTTTTGTAGTTGCATGTTTTACTGGGGCCAGCACGGTGGCATAGTTTGTAGAGCTGCCACCTCTCAGCGAGAAGATCGCCCTGGTTCAAACCCCGGCCGAGGGCTTTTCTGGGTGGAGTTTGCATGTTCTCTCCGTGCATGCGTGGGTTTTCTCCAGGTACTCCAGTTTCCTCCCACAGACCAAAAACATGCATGTTAGACTGATTGGTAACTCTAAATTGTCCCTAGGTGTGAGTGAGAGACTGAATGGTTGTTTGTCTCCATGTGTCCCTGTGATGGACTTGTGACCTGTCCAGGGTGTCCCGCACAGTGATTGTTGGACATGGGTACCAGTGACCCCCACGACCCGAAAAGGAAGAAGCGGGTAAAGATAATGGATGGATGTTTTGCTGTGTTTGGTGTGAACATTATGGTTTTGTCTTGGCTTTGTCACTGAGCTCATCAGTGACACCTGTTGTCAAACTGCTCCTTCGCTTGAACTTAATGAATGCTGGATTATCACTGGCTGGGCACTCAGGATCAGGAGGGGCGCCTGGAGAGACGGGGAGAGGATACGTCCCACTGCTCGGCTCCTTCCCTGCATGTCTGTCAGGTCTGCTGCAATGTGTCATGGTCCTGGTTTCAACTCTCAAAGTCCTCAGCTAAAGGAAAGTGCTAATTTTCTCTTACGGATTATGTGGGTACCAGTGGGATTACTTGAGCGGCAATCAGGCCTCTTCTTAGTCCCTGTTCCGTATTTGGTGAAGGATGTGGATGTGCAGCTGGGATGCACAGACTCTCACCAGTGCAACAGCTGGAAAGTAGGCAGACAACTCCACTTCCTGGTTTGCTGGCTAAGAAGACTCATCTGTACCCCATGTCGATGGGACTATACCAGTACTGTGTCATCATCTCCCCTGGCTGGTGTTGGGTATTGAGTGACCAACTTTTAAACAGACGTTTCTTTCTGAACTGAGTTGTGATGACTGATCTATTCGTTAAATGGCGTTTGTGAAATCTATTATGCATAACCTGATTTTACAGATTTTAGCTCCTCCAGCCATCCGAGTCTGTTTTAAATCATGTTTATGAGGTTTTTATTTTTGTTAATAGACAAAAGTTGAATTTTCTATTTTGTCTCAAGTCCTCACTGTGTTTGTGTGATCGGAAGGTTGAACCTAATTTGTGCAAAAAGCGACTTGAGGCGGCGACACATTTTTATATTTTAACACTCAAGAAGCTAATTATCTGTTCTGGTTTATGCTTTTTCAATGGGTTTAATGAAAGATGACACCATATTTAGTGTTTATTGTATCTGTGACGGGCTGGGGACAAGAGTTTTACATGATACTGTGCAGTTCAACATCCAGGACTGGTTGGGCTCTCCTGACTCCTCCAGATGGACCTCTGCGTTGACCTTATTAAAGTTACTAATACACATGCAAAAAAAAATGGGCACCACATGCTCAAATATATTCATAGCTTTTTCCGGTACTCAAGTTTGGTGCTCAGCTCGTCTTTAGGTCCTTCACAGCTGCTTTTTATTGACTTTTATAAATAAACGTATATGTTTGTTTTCACTGGGATTTTAGGTTGTAACAGCAAAATGTATTCAATGTGCAAAGTTTCTGGATGTTGGAATGACGATAGAGCACGGCCCAAACAGACGTAGATAGGAACACTGTTTAGACTAAGCACATTTCAATGAATCAGAAGTAGGCATAACTATATTTAGACCACAATACATTGCAGAATACTGACTGAGCATGCACACTAAAATTGTAAAAAAAGGTCAATTCTGATTGGACTGTTTATCTTATGATCCTGCATCCACAGAAGAGGTCCAACTCTCCTGTCAGTGGGCGAGGCTGGGATTTAATTTGAGCTTTCTTTTAGTTCTGGGCATTTTGTTCAAATGTTTGACTTTGTCCTTTTAGGTACAGTTTGAAATGTTAAACTAGCTTACTGCCAGGTGACCTGAGTGTTGGTTTGAGGCCTGTCTTGTGGTGACTGGTGAATAAATGTTTGTTTCTGGAGACAGACCCAGAAGTCTTATAAAAAATATTGTTCTGTTACTTTGCTTTAAGATAATGTAAGAGATAAGATAAGATAGAACTTTATTGATATTGCAGGAAACTGTGCCAGAGTTTCAGTACAAAAGAATATACACAAGGAATCACACAAGATATATAAATCACAGAGTATAAAAATACCAATACCTTTAGTGACTAAAAGCTTTCCCTTATCATTGATTTTTGTTTGTTTGTTTGAAAAGGTTGCATCAATAGTTAATTTCCTCAATTGGTTTGGTTATTCAACTTTAAGTTTTTAATCGTTTTATTTTATACAGAGTCTTGGTAAAATATTTATTTTATCTTTATTTGCTTAACATTTGATTGATTTTGTTAAATGTGCAAACCAGAAGTATTAGTAATTTGTACCATACTGGTACACTCTATTTGTTCTTTTTTGTTAAAACCCAAACAGACTAAACAAAAAAAAATTAAAAAAATAAATCTAAACCAATTCCATTTAGTTTAATGTTACTTCCCTTTTCCCGTATCTGAGCTGGTCTGTAACAGTATTCATTTTTACAAAGGATAAATGAAATATTCTACAACAACTTGTCATGCAACTCGAGGTTTTGATTTCAAAGGCTAATGACATGGCATGTCGTATGTATGAAGAAAAGCTGTTTGTTTCTCTTACAGAGTGCTGACACGACAGACTAAAACAGATGCTTGGTACCACAAAATCACATTTATTTTAACATTATTAATTTATTAAATAAGTTCTAAAATTTAAATTTAAATTAGGCAAACGTTTAATCACAAGAAAACGTTACATTTGAACCAAGTCAATTCACCATAGCATCCACCGCCTTTAACGGTGTTATTCGTGACTAATGCCAAATTATTTCAATCCAAATTGTTTATTTGAATCGTTACAAAGTGAGAGCTAATGTAGCAACCTTCACATTCATCCTGTCGCAATTTCTCTTAATTTTGGTTCCAGACAGATTATTTTTTCAGAGTATGTAGCTGTGTAAAAGGATAAATCATCAGAAGAAAAACAATAATCTGACTGGGACCGCGCTCTGTATTTGCATGATGGAGTTACAGCTGGTAGAAGCCTCTCTGTGCTCCTGCAGCTGGTGCCACACCAGACTGGCTGGCTTTCATTCATCCTACTCAGTAAATAAAATGAGCCTGATTAATGGCAGTGTGTGTGCGTGTGTGTGCGCGTGCAAGTGATGAATGTGCTCTAGTTTGGGCAGTGAGCTCTGTTCGTATTAGTCTAACGAAGTCTATAATAAGGTTCTATTTTTTCCTCATATTTTACTACGCAAACTTCCAATATACCCCAAGAACATGTTTCTATCATATTTATTATGTTGCCAAATTAGGCTCCAAATTCAAGATTAAAGTGCATTTCCACAGTTAAAATTGTGTTTTTGTCAAATTCAGAACCCTATGTTTCTCCGGCTGCAAAAGGCAGCTTTGATTTAACATCACTGTACACCTGAGTGCCGTTTCATGTCTCCTGGTGAGACTAGTCGTTCCTTACTTTTTACAGGATCCGTGCTGGGTGCAGCGGCTGAGCGGTACTCGAATGACACAGCTGGTGAACGCTACAAACAACGCATGATGGTCTTTATCCAGCTCCAAGCCCAGAACCCTCCTGTCCTCCTGACCCTGAACATTGCACCTGGACACATGCACATTGAATGAAGATGATGTAATCTTGTATAAATATTTCAGCAGCTGCAGGGCGCAGGTTAGAAATGTGAGAGCAATACTTTGAAGGGTTGTAGACGTCAATGTCCTCCAGAAGTTTGGACCCAAAGCTGTCATTTGGATGTGTGCTAGCCAACACTTTGAGGACTCGTCCGTCGTCTGAGCCGAGGAACATCACCGTCCGGTCCTTGTGAGGGCCGGCTGAAACATCCACCACAATCTGGGTCAACTTGGACCTGGAAAAAAAAAGAGAGAACATTTTCAAGTCTTCCTTTATTGTACCTCGCCACAGAGCGAAGAGAGGGAATTGGAAATACACGTCATCTGTTTGTCCATCGATCCCTGCATGTTGTGAGCACGATATCTTAAAAAAAGAAGCGTTTTATCAACTTCTATTTTGGTGTGAGGCTGCATGTAGGCATAAAAAAAGTTGATAATTGGGCTGTTACGTAAAAAATACAAGATGGCTGCCACCGTGTGTATATATATATATATATATATATATATATATATATATATATATATATGTAAACCAACCACCCCTAATATTTAAAGAAACTAATCTTTCTACGTTTTATATTGCTTAAAAGTATAGTTTCCTTAAATAATTGGGGTGGTCCTTGGGGTGGCCAAAGAATAATATATGATGGCTAAGGCCACCACTGGCCACCCACTGGCTCCACCTTTGCAGCTGACGGTGGATACAATTGCTCTGTCCACTTGCCAGGATGCGTCATTTTGCACTGCCTTGGACAAGTAAAAAAAAAAATATATATATATATTACCTCTTCTTCTACACCATGGTACTCCTACCCATTGAAATATATTGCACCAACATTTACTTGCACTCCCAGTCCAGAAAAAACATTAATCTCGAAAAATACAAACATTTACTAATTAAGTTGGTAGGGGACATCAGCTTGTTTAAGACTGATTTACACCTGTCCATTACAACGGATGAAGCTCAAATAAAAATAATTTGGAGATTAATTCTCCTTTTCCAAAGAAAACTTCTCCAAATTGATTTTTTTAAAAACTATTATTAACCTGTATTTAACGAGGCAAATCCCACTGAAAATCCAGATCGCTTTTGCAAGAGAGACCAGATGAAAGTAAAAAATATTGTTGTCTTTAATGCGATGGTTTGTTTTGTATAACTTTTATCATTAATGCTTGGAGGACCAACTTTCTGATGCTGAAACTGACCTTGGGTAAATTACTGTAAATTAACTCTAGTGGAGGCTGCTTAGTTTCATTAAACAACTTTGTTGTTATTTTGCTTTATAGAAGCCAGTCAACACCAAAAACATTTATCTGCATGTCTGGAAGTCAAGGAAACACAACAAAACTGATTCTTCCCCCAACAGCTTACTCTAAAGTGGAACAAGCCAGTTCTGCTTGTGATAAGATGGTCTCTTTGGTACGCCCCCTGAATAATATTAAGTCATATTACGCTGATCAGTTGATAAAACAAGATTAAAATCCCTTCTTGGATTCTGCGTATCTGCGCCAACATTTGTGATAATCCATTAATTAAACGATCATGCGGTGATCTCATCTCTGCTTGGCTTCTGTTATTACTTTTATTCCCCTTCCTCCTATAAAACTTGGATTAAAGTAAAAATAAATCTAAGCTCATTTTTGTTTCCGGTGCTCTGACCATTCTACTCACTGTCGTTATATAAAAGAGTCAGCAGAACCGTGCTGCTCCTCAGATATCTGCATCATCATTATCTGGGTCAGCTCGGACCTCTACAGCAGAGAGGCTAATTTGAACATGGAATTAAGAATCCCATTCTCATTTCAGACTGGTAATTAGAATCCATCAGAAACTCATTTAAAAATCTGCAGGCGGAGATTAAGAAGGTCAAAGAATTTCAGAGCTGCCGAGTCAGAGGGAGACTTCCTGTGAGCCGGCGACTAATCATGGCTGATACCGATTATTATCCTCAAGGCTTCAGGTCAGGATGGTGGATTCACTGCCGCTCAGAGAAGCTGTCATTTCCTAACTTACCTCTTCTAGGTCCACTTTAAAGTTTCTTCTTTCATGTTGGCCATTTACAATTCATTCCATTTCGTCCCAGGCTTCCAGGACTACATGGTTTAACAGTTACCTTGGTGAAATAAAACTAGAGACATTTCAATTCCTGCAACCATGAAATGTGAATGCTTATTGCTGAAGAACTTGCTGAAAAACAGCTGAAATTAGCTTAAAAAAAGTTGAAAAGTAGCTTAAAAGGTAGAATAAGCTTAAATTAGCAGAAGATAACAGAAAATGTTTGCTGAAAAAAACAAAACTAGAACAAAAAAGTGGAAGTTATCTAAAAAAAAAGGCTGAAATTAGCACAAAAAAACAGCTGAAAAGTAGCTAAAAAATCATAAGGAAGCTTAAATTACCAGTAGAAGTGGAGAGAGCACATTTTTGCTGAATCAGGCTGAAAAAAGTTGAAACGTGTGAAAAAAAAAGTGGAATTAGCTGAAAAAGCTAAACTTTGCATAAACCGTTAAATAGTAGCTGAAATAAGCTGATAGAAGCAAAACAAGTTGAAATTAGATAAAAGTTAATTAGGCTGAAATAAGCAGAAATGAGCACAAAAAGTACAAATGATCTGAAAAGAGCTGAAATAAAAAAAAAGAAGCTGAAATCACAACAAAGTGGACAGAGCACAGTTTTGCTGAATTAGGCTGAAAAATGTTGAAATGAGAGCAAAAATGTGGAATTAGCTAAAACAAAAGCTTAAATTAGCATTAAAAAGCCATACAGCAGCTGAAATAGCAGAAAAAGATAAACTTTCAGAAATAAGCTGAAAGGAGCATAACAAGCTGAAATTAGCAGAATGATTCTAGAACACACACACACACACACACACAAAAAAAAAAATCAATGCTGTAGTTAGCAAAAAAAATCTGAAAGGAGCACAAAACAGCTAAAAAAGCAGCTAAAATTAGCTGAAAAGAGCTGAAAAAAAATGGCACAAGGAAGCTGGAAGAAGCTGAACCAGAACAAAATGTGAAAGGAGCAGTAAAAGGTTGTAAACACATCTAAAGATTTGAAGGATGTAAAATGAGCTCAATTTATTTTCTATGATTTTAAAAAAATGGCAGAAAAGGCTAAATATTTCAAAAAGCTAAAGTTGCACCAATACCAAAAGTTACAGCAGGATTGTCCTGAAAGAGCTGAACGTTTTGAATATGATTTGTTGAAATAGCACAAACTTTGTGGAAAGAGAAAGATGCTGAAAAACGAACAGAAGAAAAATGAATCACAATAGAGTGAATGCTTCTTAAACGTTCACACTATTATTCTGCTGATCGTACCAGTCAGTGGGAGCTACACTTAATGTGCTTTAAAGTTAAATTTGACTGGATTTCAGAACTGATTTATACCTATAGCTGCAAATGTTGGTGTAAAACCCCTTCAAGCTACATAAGCTTTGAGTCAGAGGTTCAATGTAGGTGTGAGCCAGTGAATATGTTGCTTATCTTAAGCAGCAGACTCCTTTCCTTACACCGTTTACATTAGGCGTTACATTTTTCAACATTCTTATTTTGCCAGAAAATGACTATCTCAATGGTTTCTGTCTGCATGCATAACCAGGCAACTTTTTATGATTTGAATCATGGCATGTCTGTTTTTCTTGTATTCTTGAACAGACTTTAAAAGTTTCTCCAAAAATATATATTAAAAAAGAAAATCTACAGCACTTTGTGCACAATGATGCAGCCCAGCAGAGCAGAGTCGAAATCCTGTGGCCCTGAAATAATCCGTTTCCTTTGAGCAAGTGATGACATTGTAATGTTTAATATTTAATTTCTCTGCTTGCATACTTTTGAGGCGGTTTTAAAATGTCAACAATCTCAATAGGCATGTTATAACCAGTGAGCATGTGTGGTATTAATACCTGCTGGAGGTCCGAGTGAAGCAGGGCTGATCGTTGGCTGAGGGTACAGCTTCGTCCATGAGGGGATACGACTTGATGAAGGACAACATCTCATCTGGAAACTGCACTGAAGATTTGTAATTTGAAGCTTGACCATCACCTGCACAAGTACCAGGCCTGCAGGTAAAAACAAACAACAAATTATGATCTGCTTTAAACATCTAATATAGAAAGAAACGAGGGTCTAAAGCAGACAAATTTATGTAAACCTGGATTTATTTTGATTAACTTCTCACCTCGGTCTGGGAACATTCTCGTCTGGTACTGGAGTCCAGGATGAGTCGCTGGTCCTCTGCTCTTTGAACTTTCCATTGAAGACCTTTTCGATGTCGTCCATGTAAAAGGTGCAAACCGCCGAGCCTGGGATACTGAAGAAACGCAGAGTAAGACATCCAGGCACAAAACCATTCTGCTGGAAGGTTGGATTAAAAAAAAGAGTTTTGAGAGTGCATGAGTGAAAGAAAGCTAAAAAAAAAAAAACATTAAAGTTGGAAAAAAGTCTCAAAGCTGCCCTGACTCAGTTAATCCAAAGAAAATTCAGTGAAAACCAACGGTTCACAGGGAGAGACTCAACAAATTATACCAGAAAATGACGACAATGAGGTCAACGTTAAGCAAAAACAGTCAAGAAAAAGCAGGGCCTCCCTTCCAATAATAATAATAATAATACGATTAAAAGCTTTCGAGTCAGTTTTTTTTTGCATTTATTTAAATTAATGAAACACAGCCCTATTTTTGTTTAATAAAAATGTGATTCTCCTGTAGTATATAAGCTAGCATACTTTGCAGCCACTAAATTCTCATCAAATCCAAGTCCTGATGATACCTGTAAGTACAAAACACCACTTTGCTCCAAAAACCTGCCTTGAACGTGAATATTTAAGACAATGTTGCAAAAACTAAACCATCTTGCACCATAAAGTCCAAAAATGTCTCTGCCGAGTTTTAGACAAGAATCCATTCATCAAATTCAACTTGTATAATCCAAACAGACGGTACACTTCTTGAGAGAGACCAGCTTCTTTACCACTGACTCGTTACATCACGTTAACACGACGAGAAGAAACCAATGCGGTCAGCTACCTGAAGAATTATGAGTGCTTTGAAGTTAAGAAAAAGAAATAAATAAAGAAGTGAAAATAATATAAAAACAAACAAACAAAAAACATAAAGAAAGAGAGAACCCACCAAAAATGCCATTTTCATTTTGCATATTATGTAAATTTCTACCTGTGAAGACCCTCTTTGACATTTTATTATCCCTGACCCAAATTTCAGCATGGACCCACTTCCAACATGATAAACTAAGTCCCAAGAGTGAGAACCTGTTCACCACGTGCACAGGTTTTAAATGATGTCCTCATTTCCAGAAATGTCCCTGACTGACAGAAATAACTGCTTCCCAACAATAACCAAAAACCTCCCTGCTAAAGAAATGTTCACACATTTTAAAAAGGCTTTGGTTGTCCAAATTACAACTTTGACACAAACTATGTCATACTCGCATCTTATTTTCCCTCAAAAATAACATACTGGTATATTTTTGTCACACTTTGTAAAAGTTATAAAATTAAAATCAAATGCTTCATCTATAAAAACATTTTTGTCTAATGAAATAATTGCGAAAACATTTCTAAACTGCATTTCCCAATTGTTTTCCATAAATCTCATGTAAATGTAACCATATTTTGCTTTAACGCACACATTCCTGACGTCTACTTACACCTCTATGCCGACGATACATTTGTTTATTGTCGAGCGAAAACAGTTGCTAAGGTTTTCTCTACAGTCTTCATTTGACATCATCCAGTCTGACCTATTCCGTCTCAAACTGGTGAAAATGCTGACAAAACCAAAGGGATGTCGTTTTCAAACAGGAAGTTGGTGCCAGCAGTTCTTCCTCCAATCTTATCCATGCATGATGTTCCTATCGAGTTTGTTGAGTCTTACAAATATATGAGAATTTTAGTTAATAATAATACTCATGTGTTGTCATTGTTTGTTCCCATACATTGGTGAAATTGGCTCTCTGCATTTAACCCATCCACCCCCAGGAGGAGCAGTAGGCAGCTATTGAAGGCACCCAGGGAGCAATTGGGGATAGGGTGTCCTGCTCAGAGACACCACGAGATGTGCAATGACTGAGGATCAAACCTGGGAGTTGCGGGTCCCGAGTAGGCTGCCCTGCCTCTACACCATCTTGGACCCCATGTTGATGCACATCTCTCTTTTAAGCCACGCACTGAAAACTTGATAAAGCAACTGAAATTAAAGCTGGGTTTCTTTTTCAGAAATGGATCTTTACGAACTCTGAATGCTAGAAAATGCCTTGTAGCAGATACTTTCTTACTGGCTATTGACTATGGTGACATTATTTACATGAATGCCTCTGCCAGCTCCTTGCAGATGTTGGATGCTGTCTACCATGGAGAGCTAAGATGCATAACTGATTGTAACTACCGTACCCATCACTGCACTCTGAACTCCATGGTCAGTTGGTCATCATTATCTACACGTAGTCTCTCACAGAGGTGCATTTTCATCTATAAATCACTCATTGGTCTGCTGCCTTCATATAGCTCCTCCTACATCAAGTCGTCAGTGCAGTTACAGCGTGCACTCTCAGGCCATCATTACCTGCAGCGTCCCCTCAGTGCAGACTGAGCTTGGTAAAAAGGCCTTTTCTTACTCTGTTCCTGTATCCTGGAACACCTTGCAACAAGATCTGAAGCTGTCCACTTTGATTTATTAAGGGGATTTTAAACAATTAATAAGGTCAATAGAAAAATCAAAGCAAACATGTTCTTGTTTTTAGTATTCTACCTTGTTTTACAAGGCACATTGATCTTATTGTTTTATAACACTACCTTTTAATTTAATTGCATTTCACTGTTGTTTATTGTCTGTCAAAAACAGTTCTCTCTTGAAAATGAGTCCTTGTGACTCAGAGACTAACCTGTATAAATAAAGGTTGCATGAATGATAAAACTTCTAAACACCTAGAGGTCCTGTAAATTTGAAGCTCTGCCCCCCCTCCCCTCCCACCGAGGAAGTCTGCGGACCTATCAGAGGGACCCAGCTGAATAAACATTGTGTCATCATTTCAAGACTCTTGGATTCTCTCTGGCGCTGTCCTAGGTCGACCTCGGCACGCCCAAGAGTGTTTACGGATCTCACCAGAGGGAACTGATTGATTATACCATTCTTATCAGAACTCCTACAGTTCTTCTGGAGTGTCCTTGGACACGCTCACTGCTCTTGTCGTCTCCCCTCCCCTGCAGAATGTCTGTGCCCCAATGTGCCTATGTGTGGGGTGTGTTTTTCAATTTCAGGCTATCTTTCCTCAGCCATGGAATAAGAGTCTGTTAGGAATATTTGTTGCCTCCAAATCCTATACGTGTCACTTTCATTACTTTTTTTGTCTATACAACTGTTTAAGTAGTCATCCCAAACATGAGAACATTACACCCCCTTATAGATTATACCTGTTGGCCTGAGTGGTGAAGACCCCGATGACTGCAGGTCTCTGATTGATCTGCAGGACATTGGTGAGAGACTGAAGAACATCGAAGTAGAAGAACGAGTCTCCAGGAACTGAGCAGTTCAATCGTGCCTGAACACAAACACAGTGCTTATTTTACGATGGTTAAACACTCTGAAGCATTCTGCAACAACACAAAAGCTAACAGATGAAGTCTGTTAAATGGACAACGTCAATGCTTTTTAAAGATCTGAGCAGCCGAAGACCTGTTTAGGAAGACAATTTGTTTGTTGTTGCTCATAAAAGTGATGAAATGTGAATAAACGTGGGTTAAAGCTCATGTAGGGTGTGTTTGACCATCACCAGTAGGAATAACTTATGGTTCCTATCCAATCAATGAGAAACACTCATGTGATAAAATTGTGTTTTATTACAGCCGTCTGCTCGTACCTGATGTTCAAAAGGCTATGCAGATTACTAGAGATAAAAACACATTTAATTATTAAATAATATCAGTAAAGCATTAAATTTTCTTCATGTTGTATTTTTTTTAAGCGTTTACCAGTGCTGAGCCACATTTAGCCTTTATATAAATAAACATAAAGCAACATTGCTATTGTAAGACACCACGGTCTCAAGAGACTCATTGAAACAAAGGTGTAGCCTGAAGTGTTACAACACTGTGATACTTAAATATATGATTTTTTTAATTGGCTTAATATGCTCAGGTGTAGCTGCTGCAGATCGTCGTGAAATATGGCAAAAACAATGACCAAATTATCCAGCCGGCCTATCGAAGTACTCCAACTGAAACAGGTGGTGTTCTACAAGAAGACGGGACGTAAAGGAGTGAAGTTTAGTTACTTCACATTTATGAAACTCACCTTCAGGAAGGAAGTCCAGTATCTGTCCAGAACTCGAGGGGATCCTCCGTTATCATTCTTACAGACTCGGGCAACTCGAGAAAATACAACCTGCAAGCAGACAAAAAAAAAAAAAAAAAAAAACCTCTTTCAAAGTGCAAAAAAGAACAAACAAATGGAAACTTTCAGCTAAACACACAAACAAAAATTTGTTTACATAGTTCTTACAAAGTGATCCTCAACGTATCAATCATCACTGCAGTAATAGAAGACTAGAACACTGACAATGTGTGAATGTGGACTTTAGTTTTTGTTCTGGCTCAGTAGCTACTTTACAGCTGGAAAAGAGGTTCTCACACACACCTTGCCCAGGGCTGTATATTCCACTGCGATCTCACTCAGGAAAAAGTAGACGTAGTTACCATAGTCGATGGCGTGCAGGAAGTGAGGCTCTGCAGAGAGAGGGGGATAACAATCATCTAGTTTCTCAAGTTTCAAGGTAAAACTCGTTTCTTTCCCTCCAACTATTTTCACCTTCAGTCTGTGCTGCTCGAAACAATCCTGCAGTTATCAGCAGGGAGAAACATTTTTTTTTTTACACACCTTTACTTTTTTGTTGCCAAGACTTTGCCTTTCCCCAAATTATTTTCTAAAATCCAGAGAAGAAATTTCAGAATAACGATGAGCTTCATTAAACTGCGGCCTGTTCTGAAGGATCAGAATGCGAGGAGCGAGATGGGATCAATGATTATCTTTTCTCTTAGAAACAATGAGAAGGTCTGGGCTTGTGCAGACCAGCATGGTGGTCTGATCCTCACATATGAGAAAACTATAACTGGTTAACTTTGTGTTGCATAGTGCAACTGACTTTTCTACGGTGGGTTTTGTTAACCTTTTAGAGTTATTTGCAATTTAAATGCAATAATTATTTAGCTTAGATACATATAAAAGTTATAAAAAAAATAAGAACATTTTCTTGTGTATGTTAGGGTTTTAAACATGCGACAGAGTATTAGGGTCACGTTAAGAAAAAAAATACATTACGAGAAAAAAGTCAAGTAATAATGAAAATATAGTCATAGTATTATGAAAATAAAGTTGTATGACAATAAAATCACAAGAATAAAGTTGTAGTATTATGAGATAAAGTCATAATATTACTAGGATAATGTCATAGTATTACGAGAATAAAGTCGTACAACAATGAAATCATATTACGAAAATAAAGTTGCAGTATCACAAGAAAATAAGTCATAATATTACTAGAATAAAGTCATAATATTACTAGAATAAAGTCATAATGTTACTAGAATAACGTTGTACAAGAATAAAATCATACAACAATGAAGTCATAATATTACAAGTATAAAGTTGTAGTATCACGAGAAAATAAGTCATAATATTACTAGAATAAAATTGTACAATAATAAAACAAAGTCCATGCTCAATAATCCAGGTATACAATCCAACATTTTTCAGTCAAGTTGTAATATTATGAGAATAAAGTTGTAGTTTTACGAGAATAAAGTCACAATAGTACTACAATAAAGTCGTACGAGAATAAAGTCGTACAATAATGAAGTCACAGTACGAGAATAAAGTCGTAGTATTATGAGAATAAAGTCATAATATTAATAGAATAAAGTCATACGACAATAAATAATTATAATATTACAAGACTCAAGTCGTAGTATCACTACAATAAAGTCATACAAGAGCAAAGTTGAAATAATGAGAACAAAGTCATAATATGTGACGACTAAATCCCTCAATGCAGCCATTAATTGCAGTGTCATATGGCTTCAGTTTATCATAAGAATCCATATGCACAGTGCGTTGGGACCCTGCTATTGTAGCAAAAGAAGCAATAGCTTCCAAATCCGTGTGGTTCTTTCTTTGAAACAGACTTAGATGTTTGCACAATCGTTTCAACGACCTGATACTTATAATTATCTGATGTTGATATGCTAACAGAGAAAGTATTTCCTTATTTGTAAAACCAATACCAAAGTATAACTTAACAAGATGCTCAGCATTTCTAATTTTACCACAGTTGTAAGATCGTTTTTTTCATGTCAGAGTTCTGATAATATTACAACTTTATTCTGGTAATATCACAACTTTATTTTGACTTAATTCTCGTAATACTATGACTTTCTACTTGTAAGATTATGACTTCATTGTCGTACAACCTTGTTCTCATAATAATATGACTTTATTCTCGTAATTTTATGACTTTTACTCGTAATGTTTTTTTTTTTCCTTAGTGTGGCCCTAATACTCCATCGTATAAACATGCTGTTTTTTTAGGACAAAAACATGCCATTACAGATAATTTGATATATTTCCCCAATTTATGCTTAATGTAGGTAGGAAAAAAAAAAGTTCAATTCAGTTTATTTATATAGCATCAAGTCCAAACAGAAGTCTTCTCAGGGCACTGTACAGAAACATTCACATACATTAAAAAAGCCAATTAGTAAAAGTTCTCTATCTAAGGAAGGCAGCAGATTGATGTTCTACATTAAATCGCTGAGCTCGAGCTTTAATTTCAGAGCGTTTACATCCCGGTTCCGCCTGTTAACGTGTAGGAGGACAACAAAAGAAAAGACAGAAAATCTGCAGCAAGGACATCAGTCAATTACGAATGCACCTAATTCATTTCATTCTGAGAAAAAAACAACTAAATCTTCTTTCACATTCTCTTTAGAGAGAAACTAAAGCAAATATAAGCGAAAACTCTGTACTTCTATCAAGCATTGAATAACTAATGCCTCTGGCTTTGATGAAAACTGCTAATTTCTAAATGATGTAAGATGCAAATGTGATTAAAAAAATAAATAAATAAATACAAATGTTAAATGTCAGGCAGTGATATTAAACATGTTTCTAATGAAGCCGCCATCAGGCTGATTTCTGGGACGTACCTCGGAGCCACTTGGAGTCGTATTTAACGGTCCTGAGCACAGGTCGGCCTTCGCCTAGGCTTCTGTAGATGACGGCATCGCTGGCTAGGAAGTCCGTCATGGTGGCTGAATAGAAGTCTCCTCCTGAACACAACAGAACTTTGTGAATTCTCCTCCTCTTAAGACAAACTCAATTTTAGAGAGTACTTTCAAAATGATCGTTGTATTCAAGTATAGACTTGCAATCTATAAAATAAATTTCAGACAAGAAGTTAAAATTTAATAGCAGGTCAACTGTTACTGCACTGGTTATTGGTCTCTGTGTGCATATTTTATTGGTGATGTTTGCAGAAAGTTTAAAATAGTTAAAAAGTTGTATCGTCATCAGTATCGGGGATCTGCTCTCCAAGTAAATGTTGCCTCACCAGCAAACAAGCCAACGTTGGACTGATTGGACTCAAACGGACATCGAGCCTGACCGACCACTTCCTCCCCAACTTGCTCCAAAGAAGTCATCTGAGAACAAAAGGAAAATAAAATACATTATTAACACTATATAAAGAACTAAATACCAAAAAACTAAACAAAGTAAGAAGAGCAAAATGATTTTGGAGTTGCAAAAATGTTGAGACAATCAGTAGCTGTTTGTTCAACGTAGGGGTGCCGAATTCAGTTGCCAAAAGGAGCCAAAATAAAAATAAAAAAAAAGTCTGAGCCATGGGCCACTTTCAGCTGATCCATTAACTCGAGTCAGATACCCGATATCTTTTCTTGGTTGCAGTTTCATCAACAAGAGTTTGATCTGTCTCATTTGACGTTATGTTACTTTTTCCACATCAGAATCAATAATGACAGAATGACCCAACCTTCTTTCTGGCTTCAAGGTTAGCCAGCTGGCAAGAGAAGTCTATAGTATATTATGTATTTATCAGTTGTTTTAAAGAAAAAAAAGTAGAAGATGTACAATATTTTACATTTAACTTATTATCTTGGGGGACCAGATTTGACCCGTGGCTCTAGAGTTGGAAGCATTTTTGAAAAATGTTCTTATATCTGCAGATATATTTTGTTGTCTTGAGCAAGACGGATGCTTTTCTTCCCTCTCCTGTCTCCCTCCTGCTTTTTTCCTGTCTGTTTTGTGTAACAGAGCTTCTATTTACACATCTTTCAAATCGTAAACCGTTGTCATGGATCTGGTCTGCTGGACTTTCAAAACAATTGATACAATTTTTTCTAACCAAGCAACAGGGTCCTGGAGAACCCTCATGCCCCACTGAGACACACGCAGCAGGGTACGTCATGGATCCGTGGGGAGATTGGAAGTCGATGTGCCTTCCCGTATTGTCTCAGGAAGACGCAGACAATGTTTATATCACTGGAATCCTGATAGCAGGGTTTCTGCTTTTTGGCACCGTCGGATACCTATGTTACCGGCTATTGAAGAAGATGGCTGCAGCAGTTTCGGCCATGGCAAAGCTACCGAGCATATGTGAAGGTTTGGTTTGTGCTTTGAGTACTCAAAATCAGATGATGTATGAGCTAAATCGTAAGATGAAAGCGATTTGTGAGAACTGTAGGCCACTTGCAGCTTCTGGGACTCGTCAGCATATTGGGGATGACCTTGGAGGGAGCTAATAAGCACAAACCAGTGAAATGTCCACAAATCTGGCCATTTTGAATCATCAAAAGCACCAGCATAACTCAAGGCTGATGAGAAATAACATTCTGCCTGAATAAATATCAACAACTATGGCTTATCTGAATCTGACTCCCCCGTCGGGCCTTGCGGCAGGACACATTGTCAAATTTCTCCTGCGATGTGTGCAAACTAAGGAAGGCTCTGCTCTATCCGCCCCCTGCCACATAATTTCTGTGAATGTTTATCAGAGCTGTACCGGCTGACAGCAAACATCTTATCAGGACTATGGTGCTATCTGGAAGTGCTTCATGGACAAATCTCACCATCTTGTCATCAAATGCATAATGTGTCTATAAATGTGCTTGCTGGCAGAGTTTTTTGATGTCTTAAATCGTAGGATAATGGTATTACAAAAAAGATCTCTTCACTTGAAGAGATCTTTTTTGTAATACCATTATCCTTTCCTCGTGGCCTTTCCCCTTTTCTATCTAAATAATTATGGATTGCACTCTTAGGAGCAGCAAAAACGTGCACTCTGCCTATCTTTCAGACAACTGTACAAACATAATCTCACTGTACTGTACTATGGTGCAATGATAATAAAGTTTATTCTGATTCTGATGATGCTGCTAGTTAGCCAATGTCAGCTAAAGGAACAGTCGTTTTTAAAATGATGCTTGGTTAAAGTTAATAGTGCCTTATAAAGCGTGACATCAGTCATAGAGCACAAAGTGTGGGAAAAAGGTCCAAAGCTTACAAAATGAAAGCCCATTCATTTATCCATGCATCCATCCATCCATTTTCTTTACCCGCTTATTCCATTTTGGGTCACGGGGGTCGCTGGTGCCCATGTCCAGCAATCACTGTGTGAGGGGCGGGGTACACCCTGGACAGGTCGCAAGTCCATCACAGGGCCACATAGAGACAAACGAGACAAACAACCATTCACTCTCTCACTCTCACTTAGGGAAAATTTAGAGTTACCAATCAGCCTAACGTGCATGTTTTTGGTCTGTGGGAGGAAACGGGAGTACCCGGAGAAAACCCACGCATGCACGGAGAGAGCATGCAAACTCCACCCAGAAAGGCCCCTGGACCGGAATTTGAACCAGGGACCTGCTCGCTGAGAGGCAGCAGCTCTACCAGTTGTGCCACTGTGCTGCCCCCATTTATTTATCATTTTTCAGAATATTAAAACAACTCCTTTGCAATAAAACTAAAAATATTTCCTTCACCTGGACAAAATGTGCCTTTTCCTCCATCCTCTGTGCTCTATGACAGATGTTTACAGCTGATAAGGTGCTAACTACTTGACAGAACAACATTTTAAAATGACTGGACTATCCCTTTAGGGTGGAAATGCAACAGAAAACACCAATTTTCGAGTCACCAACTCATCTACAAGCTTTGCAGCCCTCTGAGGTACCACGTTTAGCATCCAGCTGCAAATGACTTTTGAATTGTTTCTGAACTACAGTTTAAAACTAGTCATGCACATTGTTCCAGTAACACTCAGAGGGTGATGCTGGAATGAAAGATTATAGTCCGACTTGTATGACAAAAATTGATCTTTTTAAGAATATACTCCATTTAACCATTCACTGAAAAATGCAGTAACTATTGCAGAAACAAAAGCCTTTATCTGAAAACACAGCTAGTTGCTGATGGAAGAAAAGCTTCATTGACATTTAAATAATATGTTGATGGTTTTATTTCAGTTCATTATGCTGCCGAGCTGATAGACCTCTGATAATATTTCTCTGTTGTTTTATTCCAGTCAATTATGCAGCTCATATTGTTCTAGCTGAGCTGATAGAGCTCCTCCCTCATCTCTGCAGCTGTGGCGATGGCACTGTTCTCCGAGTATGTTAGCTGAGTCTCTAACAGGGAGTTTAGCCTTCTGAGAAGCCTCATAAATACACCTGTCTGCTATATTCCCCCTGGGGAAGCTGAAGCTCTTCCGAGCTGCAAGTGTGGGACTCGCTGACCTTTCTGTCAGCCTAGTTTGCTGTTTTTAATTCAGAATATATCCAACTTACCCTCCTCTGTTCTACCTCCACCGTGAAATGAGTTTTATATAAATCGTCTAACTGTACAATTCTTTAAGTTCACAGTTCTCAAATAAATTACACTATATTAAATAACTCTTCTTGGTTTGTTATTAGAGCCAAACTACAGTAGCAGTAGGTCCTAATTACCAGCAGTTTAACTGGTCTTCTGCTGCAGGTGTGCTTAGAAGGGATTATATGTACTGTAAGACAAGCATCTATTAAAAGAACCCCATTGTTTCCATATTCCTCTAAAGATATTCCCATCATGAAGACAGCAGCCTGATAATTGGTTTAATTATTTGCATTAAATCAAGGGCTTGAAAACAAGCAGGCGCAAACAAGATTAGTCTAAAGGAGTCTAAAACTGAAATGCTAACGTGTATAAATCAAATTAATGATTGTTTTTTCATAGTAAATATTTCATCTCTTCATTTAAAATTCCATTGGATGGATTATGGAGCAGTTTGGCACCATTTAGAAAGTTAAATATATTAAACAAAGCAAACAAACAAAAAAAAAAAACCCTGTTCCGCAAAAACGTTTAACAAGATCGTGGTTTATATAGCAACAGAAAACAAAGTAAGATGAGACATCTCTCTTTCTCCAAGAGCTACACGTCTGATTTTAGATCCACACTCTTCAGAAGCAGAAAGAAAAGCTGCTCGTCTTCTGGCAAACGTGTGGCTTTTTCCACCGCCGGAGAGCTCAAAGCATACGAAGATTCTGCTAAACAGGGTCATCAGCTGCCAATCAATCTGAGCACAGCTGCAAAGCAGGAAAAATGAAATGCAGTGATGGATTGACACCTGAGGTTGTGAGATTTATGAAGTTATTATTATTATTATTTTACTGAGACTAGGCATTCAGGTATGACAGGAGGAAACACTGTCAGAATGAAAGGCATCCTGTCCTTGAGACACATTTCCTGCTTATTATATTAAAGAAAAGAAAAAAGGTGCAGGAATTCAACAGATGACATGGTAATGAGTGAGTGAGTGAGTGAGTGAGTGAGTGAGTGAGTGAGTGAGTGA